CTTGTTGAGATCTGCAAAGGATAGAGGGAGGTGGAGAGCCATGATCACCTACGTCCTGAAAGGACATGGCACATAAAAAGAAAGAATTTCCAAGTGGCTTCCAAAAGGTGAGCGAAGTGTTAAGAAAAAGAAAAAAAAATAGAAACAAGGAGAAGTATACTGGAATTAATTAATGTCAATCCTCCTACATAGATGTGAATGCTTGGCGATTCCCACACAGATTAAGAAGAGACTTGAGGTAACAAAAGCATGTAGAGAATACTATTTAAAACAAATAGAACAATTATGTTTAGAACTATAAAGAGAGAGTTAAAATTTCTAAGGAACATAATGAGGGCAGAGGTCTTGGAATATTTAACATTACAGAACATGATTCAGATAATAGGAACAAAGGAAAGCAGCAAATCTCATACATATACATATATATATATATATGTATATAAATAAAAAGAAAGAACAGTAAGATATAAAATCCGGTGTTCTTATAGATATTTTTATTTTTACAAAATAGTGCTCAATGTAAATTTACAGAGCATTAATATTATAAATTAATTGATTTAAAATATGTTTTTTTCCGCTACACAGTTCCAACCATGTTTCAAAAATAGAAGCTAAAAACCCCGAATTTAATTTTGCAATAAAATTAAAAGCATTAGTTCCATTTCATCTTCAAGCGAATTTTGGAGTAACTTTTAAAAATTACCGGGTTTTAAAGACACAGCTAAAATCACGTTTCCATGGTTACAGAATATTCTACTTAAATTGAACAAGGGTGTCTAGATTTTCTTTATGTCAGTATCATTGTATCAGTTATTAGCTACAATTTGGTAAGGGGTAGGGATGTATTTTACAATGAAACCTAACATCAGTTGAATGGATGTCATCTGGATTTAAAAAAAAAAGAAAAAAAAAATTGTTAACGGTAAAAAAATTTCAACGTCATTTTTTAAATTTAAAGATTTTCGGGGATTTTTTCATAATACTTTTTATTTAACTACGATTTGAAATATTCTCCTTTTTAATTTTTATTTTACTATATTCTTTTTAAGAACAGTTAAATGTATTAGAATCCATTATATTTTGAAGGATTATGTTAACATCAAGTTTAAGTATGTATATGAGGTACATTTTTTTTTTTTTTAAATTTATGACTATGACGGCAAAAATGGTTACTTAATTTCACTGATTTAGTAAACTTTTATTTTATATATAAACCTAGTAATATAATGTTTCTCATGTAAGTACTAAGGACATGGGTCATTCAAAAGCTTACATCTTATGGCATTTCATATTAATTTTATTTTACTATAGGTATTTTTTTTGGATTCTTTTTAGTGTGTAGTATTATTTAAAAAGAAATTTAGGTTAGAATTCATTCAATTTAACTACAATTTTAATTACAATTTCAAAATTACAACTTTAAAATTTTAAAATATTTTCATTGTTTAGTTTTAATAGACTATATTACTTTATAACAGAAGGAAAATTACTCATAGTAAGTAAAATTATTTTTCCATATCAAAGTATATGTAAATTACAATTTTTTTTTTTTTTTTTTAAACTTTTAAATTTAAATATTATTTAAGTAATATTAATGGCACTTACTACAAAAAAAAATGTTAAAAGTTACTCCAAAATTCGCTTGAAGATGAAATGGAACTAATGCTTTTAATTTTATTGCAAAATTAAATTCGGGGTTTTTAGCTTCTATTTTTAAAACATGGTTGGAACTGTGTAGCGGAAAAAAACATATTTTAAATCAATTAATTTATAATATATATATATATATATATATATATATATATATATATATATATATATATATATATATGTTATGAAATGGACAAAGTCCGACAATTATTTTAAAACTGTTTTTATGTTCATCTATAAAAAGAACGTATAAATATAAAATATCTTTTATATATATACATATATATATATATATAGATAGATAGATAGATAGAGAGATAGAGAGATAGATATATGTATATATATATATGAACAATACAGGAAAATACTTGTTAACAAAACCAATATTTTCCTCCAGTTATGCGCCATGCGTGATACACGCGTAGTCGATCATGTATATTTCGATACATGTCTGACGGGGTTGATTTTTTTCCCCGCATTAAGTTGACATTTCTTTCTGTGATATACCAGTTGCCTTCCAAGGCTATAGTACACGGTCTGTCTTGATATTTACCCATAGCTGAGGTGGGGAGAAGAGGATTCATACCTTTGTCAAGGGTATTAATTAGCCCGTATGTGGATGTAATGGATTCGACTGGAATTCGAACTCGGCTCTCCAATTCCTCAATCTGAACCACCACGAAAATAATTTTTTAAAAAATTCAACTTATCGAGGTCATTTATATCAAAATCAACCAAGCATCACACAAAAAAAAATGTATTATGAATACAGAAACATCATATTAGTCCATATAACATTTATATAATTTATATCATTTTACAGTTCTATCAATTCCCGCAATAATGCGTGTTTTGTAAAAAAAAAAAATCATACCTGTAAGGGATAAATTTTAAAAAAATAACGATAGCAGGCCGCGTTTGCAGGTGTTTTTAAAAACAACTATCACGATGAATACAGATTTTATCGCGGTTAAATATTTTATCTTTGTAATTTACCGCTGAAGATGATCTTAGAAAAAGTTCGAAAGAACTCGGGTTGAAAAAAAAACTACTGCGCCTTTCTTGATAAATTTCATCTTGACACTAAGAAACTGATTATAAAACTAGAAAGAATTAGTATAAAAATAAGTAAACACAGTATATCCATATTATTCAATGCAACATATGTGAATATCTATAGGTAGTGTGATAAACTGGCCACCAAAGTTTTAAAACCTAATATCGCTACATGTTCATTTTTTTTTTAATACGTGTATTGAGTACTTTTTAATACTACTGTGTTCTGGTCTAATTCAACTTTGATCAATAAATGCTTTTATATATATATATATATATATATATATATATATATATATATATATATATATGAATTATTCATACAAAACTAATGCAAAGGTTAATGATTTAAATGGCGAGACATCCATCTCGCAAACGATTCAAATAGTACACAAAAACCTCGAGATCCGTTATGCATGAGTTGATCCTTGTTTATATAAATTTCTGCCGTATTAGTTGTTATTTTTACTACAAGCTTTCGTCTGTTCCTACAGACATCGTCAGGTATATAATAGATGTTGTTCTTGGTTTTTTCTCTTAGTAATAAGAGGACATCGAAAATATATGTGTATTGTATCCGAAATGCTATTAAAAATGTGTTATTTGTTTTTGAACGCGCCAAAGCAACGCTGAGTTTGATTTTGAATTTTTTTAAAATGTCTGCGTCTATACCAAATATGGTAATGAACAAAATTTTTTACTGGTAAATTTTTACTGTCAAAGTGGCATGAACTATATTGTTCAATAATTACAGTAATGTCGCACTTATTAACTAAAAGTCGCACATGGATCAGATATTTAAATTACAATAAACGTGCAATCAATTTACAAATACATGAATTATTCATACAAAACTAATGCAAAGGTTAATGATTTAAATGGCGAGACATCCATCTCGCAAACGATTCAAATAGTACACAAAAACCTCGAGATCCGTTATGCATGAGTTGATCCTTGTTTATATAAAAACATTTGTTCATTACCATATTTGGTATAGACGCAGACATTTTAAAAAAATTCAAAATCAAACTCAGCGTTGCAGTAGCGCAGAAATAAAAAAAAAATGAGGTACTGTTGAGCCTGTCATGATGTGAGCAACCTAAATACCGAGTTTAAATGAAATCGGAGGAAAAAAGTTGAATTTATCGATGTTTGGTCAGCTTTATCGATTATTGTTTTTTTTTTTAAATTATCGATTTTTTACACTAAGAACCTATCTCTTACATTGTACAATGTATATGGCAATTTGGTGTAAATCGGTTCGATAGATCTAGAGTATTACACAGACAGAGAGACAGAGACCCAGACATCCTCTGTTTTATATACATAGATGCTCTGAAGTTATACATTCCTTAGTTCTGATCTTTACAGCTAAGACACACCACACCATGAATCCAAGGTCGAATCTTCCTCATTCTCTTCGTATTTCGTTGGCTAGAAGAAATTTGTATTCGGGCATTTCTTTCACCTAAAATACGCTTATTTGTGGAACAGTCTTCCAAGACTATACTTTCCCGATCCCTATAGAGTTAACTTCAAGTCTAGAGTCAGCCGTTGTCTGATCTAACTTTACTGATAATCTGCGCTTTTTGCCTCCTACTCGTACGTGCAGAAAACAAAATAGTTTTAAAAGCCCTACCTTGAGTGGGAAAACAATACTGTTAAAATCAGGACTGTAATAATTGTTAATCCGAAGAAATGAATGAAATTCTTCAGACAAGAGTTTTACAAAAGTGATCTACAGAGAAAACTTGCTGTCACTTGACCCCAGAGAAAACCAACCAATACTTCTCACGTGAAAATACAGGCCATTGGTGGAAATTTGATACTAAATGTAAAACAGTCATCATCGTAGCAATAATAATGCGAATAAGAGGAATAAAAACAAAATAAAAACAAAGAAGGGGTAACAAGCTATTTTATAACTTTAATTATTTCTGTGTTTGATGACTCAGGCACTGTAATTAATATTTAATGATGAAATATTTAAAACTTGGTTTACATTCTTACAATAGACTTTTTTTTTATTTAAAGAGTAGAACTCTTTGTTCGTGCTTAGTCGGTAATTTCCGTATTAAGTTGACAAGGCGAACAGCGATTTCTCGTAATTACCATGACAACCGCTAACGCTAAGTTTGTTTACTGCTCGAAAATTTTAGAAACGATTTTTGTAGACAGACAACAAAAGTGATTTTAACGAAAATTGTTCTTTATTACAAAGAAGAAAACAAAGAGAAAGAAATCTTCTCTTTTAACTTCAGTGAATAGAAACGGCTCTGCTCAAAGAACGATAAATGCCAGCACGAATTAACCAGGAAGAATCAGGTAACTAAATGAAATTAATTAGTAAATTTTAATCGTGTGTTACGTTGAATTTTCGTTTCTTACAAGAAAGAAAAAAAAAAACATTTATATATATATATATACATTGCAAGGATCATTTACTCCGTTTATTATTATTATAATTATTATTATTATTATTATTATTTCGTAATATTAATGCATTTGAAATCATTAACGGTTTGTTTTTTAGATGTTATTGTTTGATACAAAGAAACTGGTAAGTACATAAGGTTCATGGTGGCCGAGTGGTTAAGGCACGTCAGCGTATATGACGGTTCCGTATAGGATGCAGGTTCGAATCCTGTCTATGAACGAATATTTTCTATGAAAATTTCTCGGACATTCAGGCCGGTAAATGTTATTTAATACTGTTTATCATAAACAGAGCATTTGCTTAAATACTTGTATCTATAAAATAACAACGTTAAACATAAATAAAAAAATGTCTTTAATAAATAAATTGTCGGACCTCGTCCATTTCTTAACATATGACGTCATTTGTTTACATTCGATACGCCAGAGCAGTTATGAATGTACGAGATTCATGGAAGATTGTAGTTTATAACAGTAAATTCGACCTTGTCTACCATAAGGTTCATGGTGGCCGAGTGGTTAAGGCACGTCAGCGTATATGACGGTTCCGTATAGGATGCAGGTTCGAATCCTGTCTATGAACGAATATTTTCTATGAAAATTTCTCGGACATTCAGGCCGGTAAATGTTATTTAATACTGTTTATCATAAACAGAGCATTTGCTTAAATACTTGTATCTATAAAATAACAACGTTAAACATAAATAAAAATGTCTTTAATAAATAAATTGTCGGACCTCGTCCATTTCTTAACATATATATATATATATATATATAGTGTAGGATTCAATATATTCATATATATATATATATATATATATATATATATATCCCTTCCGGATCCCAACCAGAGACCTAAGAACAGAAATAGCTTCATGACATTATTAATTTTGTCTGAAAAAAAAAAAGTAAACACACATTTTACATAGATAAACGTCTTTGTAATGTGTCAGCTGTACTTGTGAGTACATTTTTTGTATTTCTATACGGTATGTTATTATTATTATTATTAGCATGTATAGAAGAATTTCGGTTTACGTAAAGAAAAATAAATGAAATGACAGAAATTATCAAGAATATATGTATCTCTGTCTTCATGTTATGTTTAAAAATCGGGTACAAGTATAAACCTATGAATAATTTAAAACTGCATACCAGTATAAAAATATAAAAAATATCTACTAATACATTACTAATTTTTGTAGAAACGTCGCTTTTCTCAACAACGCGTCAAAACGAATCAACTTATTATTAAAACGAATGAAACGCAGCCAGCGTGAATGTCATGTAACTGAAACATTTATGGAACATAAATTGAAAAAGACAGATGGACTGCTTAAATATTGCTAAACACTGTGTATATTGTTTTCTTTTTCTTTTCTAAAATTGCGCTCTTCTCTATGTTTTGAAAAATATTGTTACGCATGTCATTTTGTTTATTATTATTATTATTATTATTATTATTATTATTATTATTATTTTCTTTGATTTCTGGCGTTTACACATTTCTTTCCGGGTCCCGCCCAGGGACCTTAGGTTAGAAATGGCGTCATGACACTTTCCACTGAGAAAAAAAAGAAAAAAAAAAATTACGTAGATAAAGCCCTTCGTAAAGTGTGGGCTGTACTTGTCAGAACAATTTTTTCTATCTCCTTGAGGCATGGACTTCCAAGAATCCCTTCAATTAGTCTACTGCAATCTTTTCCAACCAGTCCTAGGCCTACAACTACAACAGGGATTGTTGATGTTCCCATATGCCATATTTTCGAGATTTCTGTTTCAAGGTCCTTGTATTTTGACAGCTTTTTGATTATTATTATTATTATTATTATTATTATTATTATTATTATTATTATTATTTACTTGTGTCTTATATACTGGAGAATACTGGTTGTTTCTAAAATGAGTTTAATATTGTATTTCAAACTAAAAAATAATTTAAATCAATATTTAAAAAAAAAAAAGTTACATCAATATGTACTCACCGTTAACTGGTATAAATTGAAGAGCTAGGAAGATAGTGTTATGGTCTTTTTTCCAAGCTGTTGAGGTTCCCTCTCATGTCGACATGAATCGCTATAAAAAGAAAGATTAATTTCATACAATTATAAATTTAGAGAACCTGAGTCATGAATACAAAGAAAATCTCCCGGCCTCTGACCCTGACCTCACAAGGTAAACCGCTGTTCAGCTGTTATTTATCTTCGAAAGAAAAAAAATGGTCGAGTAGGTCCCAGCAGTCTGCGTGTAAGAACACGTCTATGTGTCATTGACACACAATTGCTTGCTGTTTACTAACCGTGGCCAGAAGAATTGACTTATGTACAATATCATTAAATGAACAAGATTATTATTATTATTAATAATAATAATAATAATAATAATAAAGAAACAAGGAACAGATTGAATTTACACAATTATTATTAATATAATTGATATTATTGAGTGTTCTCTTTTCTTTTTTTATTGATAATGCTTCCATTATGTTTAGCCTTTATTTACATGTGCATTATGCTATTAGATTTGTATTATCAACGAGTATGTTGCGGATAGAGTTTGTTCGGTCTCGAAGTGTATTTAAATGAGACAAATAAACACGGTCACACTATGATGACCGTGTTTAGAATACAAAACATTCCTAATGTTATATTCCGTGCTAATAGAAATATATACTTGAAAAATAAGGTGGATAAAACAAGTAAAGGTTTATTGTAAAGACCAGAACAATAAGAATAAAGGTAACAGTTATGCAAAAGGTCGTCACAAGTCAGTCCAGTAGTGAGTGCTACTACTGGAAGGTCGATATTTCTCGCGTAAGTCTGAGTTGTATTCAACAGATCCCAGCTAGTAATACTTACCAACATCCCCACTGGGTAGGATGTGGCACAAGGCCGAATTTAGGCTCGACCAAAAATTTCCCCTAAAACCCGCATAAACGGGTTCGGGTCTGTCTAGCTCCCCGGCCGAAACTGCCCTTCGGCATAAACCCGTCCATGTTCCTACCTCTCTGCCCGAAGCAGAGAGTTCGACAACAGCTAAGAGCTGAGTAACAGATGCCAGCTAGTAATATTTACCAACCTCTCCACGGTGGGGAGGTTGTAGCACATTGCCGAATTTAATGTGGGACAATCCAAACCCGTAGGCTCGGACAAAAATTCCCCGTAAAGCCAGCATAAACGGGTTCGGGTCTGCCTACCTCCCCGGACGAAACTCTGCTCTTCATCATAGCCTCGTCCGGGTTACAGTCTGCATGAAAGCAGAGAGTTCGACAGCACAACTGGAACAGATTCCAGCAAGTGTATTTACAAACCTCCCCACGCGATCAGATGTGGCACAAGGCCGAATATAATGTGGGGCATCCGAGACCGTAGGCTCAACCAAAAACTCCTCATCGATCCCGTATAAAACGGGGACGGGTAGATGTTTCTCAAGACGAGACTCAGCCTTTCGACAAAGCCTCGTCTGGGGGTCCTCTCTGCCTAGAGGCAGAGAGTTTGGCCAGCACAGCTGGAAAAAGATTCCAGATTGTCTCTGTAATCCGTTGACTTACAGATACTAATGTACTTTTATTTGTTTGGCGAATACGCTAGACTTTTATGGCATGGGAAAACAGGACAGACATTAGTAAGCAGATAGCTTATCTAACGCTCAGTAAACTATCTAAATCACTATCATCACTAGCGTTTGCACCAACACTTCCTCCTCATAATCCTCCGAATCCATTGGAGGGATTTTGTCACTAGCGTTGAAATTCTGTGAGAGTCAGAGGTCACTATCTTTGTGGCCTTGTTAGGGTCATAAATAAAGACACAAAGAGAGTGATTGAGTTAAACAAATATATTAACAGAAATAGTAATACAAACATATACAAACGAGAGTGTTACAGCAAGAATGTTCGGTCCGACTGTCAGAGCTGACTGCTGGGAAAGTCCACGGGCGTGTAGGTAAATTACCATAATACTATCATTGATTATGTTAAAGATGGAAATGGTGATAATGTGACACCAAAAAGAATATCAGTAAAAGAAACACTCGGCATTTCGATCATTGCCAGTGGTTTGACTGACTGAGCCGAAAACCAGGAGAACTGGCCATACAATGTCCACCAAGACGTCCTTTCCTCCGAGAATAGGTGCAGTGCTGCCTTAATGAGCTAGAAGAGAAACCGTGTCAGCCGTGTCACTACAGCAACAACCCTGTGGGGGGAAAAACTCCTCCTTCAGTCGTTGTGGAGATATTTGCCTGGATACATTGGAGAGATTCGCAACCAGCTATCTTCCAGCAGACGAAGTTAAGCGAAGAACTTATATACATGCTTAAATTATTTATCTTTAATCGCATCAGTTGGGGGGTCCTCATAATCAAAAACGAGGTCCTCTCTCGGATATCTCTCCCCAGCATCGTGGCTACCATCCTTCAGCATCGGCTCCGCTGGGCTTGTCACGTGTCCAGAATGCGTTCCACTCGACTCACACGTATCATCCTGTTTGGGGATCTTGCCAGTATCAAGAAGCTATGCAGATGCTCAAAACGACGCTTCAAGAAGCAGTTGAAAACATCCATGATACAGGTAAACATCAACCCTGACACCTGGGAGTCTTTCGAATCCAACTGTCAACATGAAAAGGATGTGTGGCGTGCTATCAGGAAGGCCCGTTCACAACCCACATTCCTCTGTAACTCCTACTCACGACGCTTCAGGCTGTACCGTCACAGTCATCGCCATCACTGTCGCCAGAGGGAAGAAAGGAAATAAGAAAATGACAACCCGATACTCAAGCAAGCGTTTGCCGCCCTTGTTTTTGTCTTTGATTGGGTTTAATGGTACATTTGTGTCAAAGAGAGTTAAAGGCGAATCCGGTCCTGCGCGGAATTTCCCTACCTGGTGC